AGATTGAATCTCAGTCCTCACGCATGCTAGGCAAGCTCTACTACAGAGCTAGGCCCCGCTGACAGGCTTAGGCTCAGACCTAGGTACCTGCATGTCTCCAGTGGCCTCATACTGGACAGTTCAGCCCTGGACTGCCAACATCTACGACTACACGCCCACCTCAGCCTTTCTTCAAGGAGCCTAGCGCTGTGCCCACCAGAGATGCCTGTTGACTTGAAGTTCTTAAAAGGATGCCGAGGCCCCTGTGTCATTAGCTGACTTTCCCAGTTCCCCCTTACATGGCTGAGGGGTATGGTGGCCCCTTCTGCCCCCTTTCTAGCTGTGGCCCAGGGCATGTAGTTGGATAGTTGAGGGTTTAATCTCTGAAGCCACCATGCAGTCTTGGGGTGGAGTTTGGCCAACTCTGCATTGGTGGGCAGGCTTACAATGGGCTTCAGAGACCCAAATGACTGAAGTCCCGGGCTGTAAGTTCCCTGCCAGTGCTGGGCTGGGCCTCTGAGCTCTGGATGGAGCCTTCACCACGGAGCTGGCTGCAGAATCCAAGGAAGTTCAGGCGCTGACACCCTCTGCTGAGCTCTGCTGACAGTTATTCTCCCCACCCCCAAACTCTTCTCTGTAGCAAGGTGTGGGGATCCTGCTTTGTTCTTTCCCTCCCCGACTTGTGCATGTGACACCTCTGAGTCCTGTAAGATGCCCTTGGCATAGTCCAGATGGTGCAGCCTCAGACACACTGTAGACTGGACGCCACCTCTCAGGAGGAAGAATCCCTTGGCGATGACGGCTTACATGTATTGCTGCTCTTCTTATGTGCAAAGCATTGTCACTCCCACCACCACCAGGAAGGAGACATTATTACTCTGCCATTTTACAGAGGAGGACACTGAGGCACAGATGGTCACCCAAGACGAAAGTAGGAGCATATCAGAGCAGAAGCTGGGAAGCAAGAGCAACCCAGAGCCCAGGGTGGTTGACACCAGTTTTCTGGGGACCTGGGGTGAGGGACAGGCAGTGGGGTGAAAAATTTAGGCTGGTGGCGCTTTTCAGGAGGGCTTGTCCTCAACGGCGACAATGCAGGCTTCTAGGGGATTCACGGAACCCCAGAGAAAGAAGATAAGAGGTGCGCTGCTGGTATGGTTTGGATATAGTTTGTTTCTAAAAATTCATGTACTGGAGATCTGGTCCCTAATGTAACTGTGCTGAGAGCAGTTAGGGCTTTAAGAGGTGATTAAGTCCTGAGGACCCCACCCTTGTGAAGGGGTTAATGTAGTTCCCTGGACAGAGAGCCAGTTCTGATAAAAGGAGTTTGGCTTCCTCAGCTTTCTTTTGTTTTCTCTCTCTCTCCACATCACCTCTCTCCCACAAGCGCCCGCTTCTCCTTCTGTTTTTCCACCATGCACCAGAAACCAATGCTAGCACTGTGCTCTTGGACCTCCAGATCCAGGAGCCAAAATCTATTTCTATTCTTTATAAAATTTGCAGTTCTAGGTATTTTGTTAAGCAACAAAAATGGGCTCTGACGCTTGCTGGGAGTTCTCAGCATCAGGCTTAGGTTGCTCAGATGACCTGGAGGAGGAAGAGGCTTCCAGTGACTCATGAGGGGTGCGGTTGGAGAGGGGGTCTCGTGGGTGCCCTTTTCCCAGGACTCCCCAGATGTCAGGCTGATAGCTGACTTCCTGACACCTCTTTCTAGAGAGGAGGGTCCCTGAGGTTTCTTTGGTGGGCTGCCCTAGCAGTGTTGGCCAACAGAGCCTGGCGGTACACTCAGGCACGGACCCTCCCAGTGGACACCTTAAGCCATGTCCTCAGTCATTCTTCCAGTCAGGATTTGTTGAGTGAGTGCTGTCTAGAGAAATCCTTGTAAGAAAATGGGAAGGGGCCTTTCTGTGAGGAAGAAAATAGGCAAGGACCGTCTATGTACACTCACCCCTCAAGGCAGCTGGGTTCCTGGTTTGGAAAATTGGACCTCCTGAGCACCAGCCTCATGTGCTGCAGTTCTTGTGATCAACAGTGGGGCTGCCTGGCAGGCTCCCCAAGGCCTACTTGGTCCTGAGGTCTGCCCTGCTTGTCTCTGAGGCAGCAACAAATGTCATGCCTGCTACACAGCACCGGCAGCCCCTCCAACAAGCTCTGGTGAATCTAGATGAGCCGAGCTTCACAGCAGGAGGCTCACGTCTTGAAAGTCAGCATTGGCAGCAAGCAACCGAGGCAGCGTCATGCGCAAACCTTGCAGCAAGAGCTGGCTATTTTTCACAGGACTTCGGAGACCCACAGCTTGGAAACAGCAGATACCCACAGATGCACACAACCATGGAGAAGCAGTAGCCTATGTGTGCCCCAGGCTCCCTGAGAGGATTCTGCCCAGGGCCTTCCTCCCAGCCCCCATGGCCCACTGGCAACCACTCATCCAAATCAGGTTTGGTCATTTTCCTCCTGGGCTTCGTGCCCATCCAAACACAATCTCAGCAGGACCCTTCAGGCTCCTTCCCTGAGAAGAGCATGGCATTCTTTTTAGGGCTTAGAAAATGCAAACAAATAATTCACTGTATTTGTTCAGGCCAAGGACTGTGTCCTGCTTTGGTGGGCCTGTTGTCCAGCTGCCTTGGTAGGATCCCTGAGAGGGAGGGATATGCACATCCATGTGTGTGTGCATGTGTGTGTGTGTGTGTGTGTGTGTGTGTGTGTGTTAGGGGTGGTAAGGAGACGCTGATAAGGGAAAGCCACTGTAGAATGCAAGACAAGCTTTATGGCTAACATCAGTGTGGCACAGCATTTTATCCAAGTGGCAACCACCTTCTGCTGCCATGTTCTCCTTAGTTCGAAGACAAGTCATCAGACTGATGGATTCATGGTCCCAAAGCCAGAGAAGACACAGCTTAGGAACTGAAAACAGAGACTGGAAGAGGCCATGCTGAGAGCTGGGAAAATTTCCAAATGCTTCCGACTGGGCTCAGGGATATAAAAGGTCAGGATTCTCTTTGATTTGAACAAAATCATTATGAAGAAGTTGGACAGTGGAATTCACATCATTCTCTACTATGATAATAGAATTGATTTCTCTCTGATGGCTGATTTAAACTTCTCTCTATCCCCTCACGCTGTGGAGAGCTTTCAGGTACTTTGAAGTCCTTCAGTATTTCAGTCTCTGCCCAAATACCCCACTGTCCATGCGATGCCCATCTTGACTAGTTCCTACCCTCCTGGCTGCTAGGGTTAGTGTAAGGTGAGCTCACACTGACATCCTGACTCATCTTGGCTTCCTTTTTCCTCCACTGAATGGGAGCCACAGGATTTCTCTCCAAGTCTCTCCATCCAAGTCTGTCTGTAGTTATTTTATGCAGAATTTCACCGCTGACAAAACACTGCCCATGAATGTTCACAGTAGCACTATTCACAACAGCCAAAACCACCCCCCAAATTGTGGACTATCTGGACAAGAGAATATGACTCAGCCACCAAAAGGTGTGACGTATTGACACATGCTGCAACATAGAGGAACCTTGAAGACATTTATGAACTGAAATGAAGCAGCCATAAAACCCTACATGGTGTGTGGTTCCATTGAATAGATTCAGACCAGGTAAGTTCATAGAGAAAGCAGGTGCTTGCTGAAGGATTGAGGGATGGAAAACCAGGAAACGACTGTTCAGTGGGTGCAGGGTTTTCTTTCAGAGCGATGGAAATATTTCAGAACTAGATCGAGATGGTGATGGGATAAAACTGTGAATGGACCAGGTGCCACTGACTTTAAACTTGTGTTAATTTTGTTATGTGACTTTCAGTTTCACTTAAGAAAAAATATTGAAGACCTCTTCTCAATTTGAGCAGTGGGGCTTCCTCCGTCCCACTCACCCTCTGTATTCTAGGGACTGGTCCCTCACCCTGATGGTCTGTGGCCTGAACAAGATGCTTTCTCTATGTCATTACTGCTTCCTCACTGCTCAGGACTGAGTCAGCTCCAGCCCTTTCTAGCTGTGTGCGGGGCCCCAGTACTTAACCTGGGCCTTCAGCCTTCAGCCTCCTCGTCCATATGATTTCCAGAGTTGATGGGTGAATGAAATGAGATGAGGCAAGGAAAGCTCTTTCATAGCAGACAAGTTAGATATAACACAATCATTTTTATACTCTAAGCCTCACTGGGACCAAAAAGCAGAAACATCTTTTTATATGGTACTTCACAGCCGTAAGCCTCCTGTCCACCAGGGGGAGCCCTCAAAAGGAGCCCACCACCAGTTCTAACCGGAATCTGTTTCCTGGAACCCCTCTTTCTTCTGCTGCTCCACTGGTCCCTCTGCCCTCTGGTTGATGGCTTTTGGCACCAGAAGCTCTGCAGTTTTAAACTCACGCCACAGTTGACAACGTCTTTCTGGGCCATACTTTTTACAAAAATAGGTTGCAGGGCAAATCCAAATACAGCCTGCTGCCTGATTCTGTACACCTCTCAAGCTAATTTTTTTTTCATTCTTAGATGGTTGATTTCAAAAAGAAGAAACATGTGACATGCAAGAGTTAAATAAAATTCATATTTCAGTATTTATGTATAAAGTTCTGTTGGAACACAGCCACATTCATTGCATGTTATCTATGGCTTCTTTTGAACTACAATGGCTGAGCTGAGTAGTTTTGACAGAAACAATAATGACCTACAATACCTAAAAAGTTTTGTCATCTTTTCCTTTTAAAAAATTGGTTGTTGTTGTTGATATCTACTCTAAACAAATAAAGTTAGGAATCAAAATCACTCATGACATCATATTTGACTTCATGACTCGTGTCCTGAGTATCAGCATATTTTTATGGCAATCTGTGGGTCTTCTTTCATCTGTAAAATGGGGAAAATAGTACTGTCTGATGAAGTTAGTGTGAGGACTGAATGACTTAGTACATGATAAACACCTAGGACAGTGCCTGGAATTATAAGTGCTCAGGAACTGTGAATTCTAGTTATGTATAGAGTTGTTAATGTATAGACATGAATTCAAATAAGTACAGAACAAAAGGAGTTCTTCTCTCTTAATTTATTTTGGGATGTGCTGTAAACAGTTTGAAATGTCCCTCTGACAGCTTTCTGGCTTCACCAGTCTTGGGTGACATGACAAACTCTCCTTCATAGAAGGTACAAGTGAAACAGACCTGGAGGGACATGGATCCTTCCCTCTTCAGAAAGTGTGATCACGTGAAGATGCACCTGGTTGTCAGTAGAACTGGCCCATGTTTCTCGGAGGTGAGGTGTCCAGACCACTGTTCATCCATATTTCCTGAATGATTTGCTCCCTGCGCTCAATCCTTTCTGCCAGCTCTGCAGCCTCTATGGAACTGTAGGCTGGATACGAAGTCCTACGTAACCCTGGTAGTTCCCCTGGAAATTCAGAGTCAGAGGAGTCCTCCTCCTGCCCGTCATCCTCACTGTCCTCCTCAGCCTTGTCACTTCCTGGCACCAGGTGCTCCCTTCCCAGCTGCAGCTCCCGGAAGTCTTTGGTGCAGGACACTCTGATGACTAAGGCACACAATGTGAGGGCCAGGCCGATGCAGACGCTGGACACAAATAGCAGAGCGGCTCTCTCAGGGTGGGCTGTGGGAGAAAGAGAACATGTCAGGAGCTGGAAGGAGTGTCAGTCTTTACCAGTCCAAATCTCACAGGACCAGTCCTAGACAGCATCTTTGGAACCATCCACACTTAACTGATTCTATCCTCCAGTGATTAAAGTTTTTAATCATAGTCAATAGATGCATGCATATGAGAGGACACACAGGAGAGGGACACATAGAAGCCAGATCTCCCTTTGTTTAAACTCAGAGCAGTTGTGGTCTACATAAAAAATGGCCCCCAAAGCCTCATGGGCCACATCTAAAATGGCTCCCAAAATCCCACATATTTGGAAGGTGATTGGGTAGGAGAGGCTGGTCACTGGAGGGGGGTGTGTGTGTGACCTGGATGGTATCTCCCTCCCACTTCCTCCCTTCACTCTCTGCTTCCTGGCCACCATGACATAAGCAGTTTTCCTCCAGGCCCTTCTACCATGCCTTCCTGTTGTGGAGCTAGCCAACCATGGACTGTAACCGTGAGCCAAAATAAACCTCCTTTCCTTTAAATTGTGGGTGTCAGGCAATTTTTCGAGGAACAAGAAAGGGATGGACACAGAGCTCATTCCTGTGAAGTTCTTACAATACTCCCTGACATGTAGTAAGTGTTCAATCAAGTCTTAGCTATTAGTAGCAGTAGTTGATTATGCACAATTAATTTATGTATGAAGTATGTATCTGAACTTTCCCCACTTTGGTATTGGGAATTGAGCCCAAGCCCTCAACACATGCTAGGCAAGTGCTCTACCACTGACCGACATCTCCAGTACTCACATTTCCTTTGTGGTACTGGCAATAGGGCCCAGGGCTGCCTCTCTACTTCTTTTTATTTTTTGAGAAAGGGTTTTGTTGTTGTTGTTTTGTTTTATTTTTTGAGATAGGTTCTTGCTATGCAGTTCAGGCTGGCCTTGAACTCCTGCCTCAGCCTCCCAAGTGCTGGAATTACAGCTGTGTGCCACTATACCTGGTCAATTCCCTCCTATTCTAGATCAGTTGACAAACTTGCTCAGTAAATGACCAGATAGTAACTATTTTGGGCTTTATGGGCCACTTGGTCTCTGCTGCAAATATTCACCTCTGCTGTTGTAATGCAGAAGCAGCAAGAGATCTTATGTGAGGCAGAAGCCATGGCTGTGTCCCAATAAAGCTTTATTTATACATTTGGGCCACACTTTGCCAGCCTCTGATACAGATGCTCAATCTGAAGCCCAGAGGGAAAGCAGCTCCCTGAGCTCAGTGCAGAACCAGGACTGGAGCTCGGAAATTAAACAGTGGGGTTCTTGTGGGGTTCACTTTGGTGCCCCTGCATTTTCTCAGCAATCTCAGCTGAATGGGTCCTCCTCTAGGCACACTGTCACTCCTTTGATTCCAGGAGAATAATGGAGACTGTTGTCTTTGCAATTCCTGTCCTTCCCCAGAGGTCCAGGCTGGAGTTTCAAAACTGCTAAATTTCACACTAGTCAAGGGATCCAGCCGATGCCAATGTGGTCTTATGGGAGAGGTGGAACTGGGGCACCTTATCTTCTTGTAACTGGAAACCTCCCTGTCCACTTCCTTCTCTGCAGCTGAAGCCATTGCTGGAATGGCTGGACTCAGATGTGCTGCTCTTTGTTGTCATCACCTTCACAGGACTGTCTCATCACTTTTTGGGACACAGATGTTTGAATTCAGCATTTATCTTGCCCGGGGAAGAGACAGTGGGTTGCATTTGTAGTGCTCTTAGCAATGGTGTGCCTTTCTTAAGGGTCAGGTTTGTAAAGGGATTTGGTCAAATAGAGACATGGGTCCTCTGTGAGAGAAGCAAGGGCTGTTTCACCTCTGGAAGTGGTGGCAGATTGGAGGTGTGGATGAGGTGGCACTTGGGATGAAGTCATTAGTGTGGGACAAAAGCTCCTAAAACCCGAGGGGCTGGTCCAATAGATGGAGCTTTTCTCCTCCTCCCCTGCAGACCACAGTCCCCTCACCTCCCACTGTAGCCTGGGTGTGGTACGAGTGTCCCCGAGTTCAGGTGTTGAAATGTGATCCCTGCCGTGAGGCATTAGGAGGGTGGAACCTTAACCCGACTACTCTTTGGAGTTGGGGGCCTTTGAAAGATGATTGGGATTAGATAAGGTCTTCAGGGTGAAGCCCCAGTGATTGGTTCATGGGGCTTTATAAGAAAAGAGAACAGGTGCACACATGTGCACACACACAAACACACACACCCATGTGCACACACGCTCCGTCTCCTGCCCTGTGATGCCCCATGTGATGCCTCGGGAGTTGACCATCACTAAATTCAGGCCTTGACCTTGCACCTCTAGAACCATGAGCCCAAAGAAACCTGCCTTCCTTATAACTCACCCAGTCTGGGGTGTTGGCAACAGAAAATGAACTAAGACACTGTATTTCCCCTGCAACCCTCCTCTTTCCCTCTCACTGCCCAGCCCCCTCCTGCTGGTCCCAGTTTCTCCAGGACTTTTTTGCTCCGTGCCAGCATTTGGTGAAGTCACAACTCAACTTCTTCATCCTGGAAAACATAAACCTTGTTGGTAGCAAGGCTGTGGCATGCCGGGAGTGCTGCGGGTGGAGCAAAGTCTGGGCTATCTGCTTCCTTTTCCAGTCACTGTGGAAAGGTGAGAGCCTGCCATCCCAGTCAAGCTTCTGAGGAGCAAGGATCACCCACCCCAGCCCAACTGTCCAAGCAGTGGTGGTGTAGAGGATGGACTCGGGTTCAAATTGGCTCTGCTATGAAGTAGATTTCTTTTTGTGCTTCTTTAGTTATTTATTTTAAAGGATAATGGGATTAAATTAGTTATAATCCTTGGGATATGACACACACTGGCTAATGCAGGGTCCTCCTTTATATTTATTTGCATAATTACTTTCAATATACCTGTGCTATGATTAAGTTCCCTACAAGACCTGGACCACAATCTGTGTCCAACCTGTGTTTCCCTATCCTTAGCTCCTCTTTCCTCACTCTATTAGTCAGGTTTTTGTCACTGAGACATAATACCCCAAACCCACAACTTAGAGGGGAACAGTTTTATTTAGCTCATGCTTAGGAGATTTAGTTCATGGTCAGCTGGCTACATGGCAGAAACATCATGGCAGAAAGTCATGGCAGAGGACAGCTGCTCAACTCATGGCAGCCAGGAAGCAGAGAGAGAAGGGAAAGAGCCAGAGAAGTAAGGGCTAGACTCAGGCTCTACCTTTCAGTTCGTGCCTCCAGGGGACTTACTCCCTCCAACCAGGTCCCATCTTCTAACTGCACATTCAGCTACAACCTCATTAATGGATTAGTCCTCTGATGAGGTTAGTGCCCCATGAGCTAATCACCTTCCAAAAGCCACTCCTTTGAGCCAGGTGTTGTGGTGCACACCTGTAATCCCAGCACTTGGGAGGGTGAGGTAAGAGGATTGCTGTGAGTTTGAGGCCAGCATGGAATACATAGTAAGATCCTGTCTTGACCCTCCACCCTGAAAAAGCCCCATCTCTAAACACATGATTCTTTGGGGAACATTTTTATCTAAACCATAAAACCCATCTAAGTAACTACCACCGGAATCCCACATTCATTACTCCTTCCTTTTTTATATATTTTTGGATCTTTATATATTCCTAGAAACTTTATTATAAGAATATAATGTTATGGATAGTGTTTGGGACTTAGTCTTTTTTGTTTGTTTGTTTTTTGCTTAATATCACATTGCTGTATAATATTCCATTGCCTCGGCAGTTGTACAGTTTGTACACTCTCTGTCCTGTGGACAGGCATCTGGTTTTCTGCCAGGTTTCTGCCCCTGTGGACACTGCAGTCATGAACTTTCTTGTTGATGTCCCTGGTGTACATCTGTGAGCATTTCTCTTGGGCACTACCCTAGGAGGCAACCAGATGGGCTTTAGGGTACATGGATTTCAATTTTGGGAAATTCTGCCCAAGTGGTTTCCAGAATGGTCACAGTGTGGAAGAAGTCCTTGAGTCCTCCTCTTCTCCAACACTTGCTATGGAAAGACTAAATTTTTCAGTCACATTGGTATATAATTGTATCTTGCTATGATTTTGATTTGCATTTCCCAGATGCAAACGTGCATCTCTTCATGTGTGCATGTGGTTTCTCTTCCCAGAATGCTAGTTCATATCACTTGCACATTTGGCTTTTCTATTGTGTGGTCTGCATTTTCCTCTTACATATAAAAAGTACACATGTCTTACACAGCCTCAGTAATAATTTTTTTTATCTTTAGTTTCTCCTTTATTACTCATCCAAAGAGGCTGTAATTTTTTTTAAAATTTATATA